TTCCCTTATATGCCATCAAATATAAATAGGAGATAGTATGCTACATGTCATTGTAAATAACCTAGTACCTGTTACAAATGTGGACATGGTGGCTTTCTGCATTCTACTTCCTAAGTTTTACTTACTGAAAGTGATTTTTGTAAGAGTCATGGTTTAAAGGTTGAGTCCCTAAAGCATTACCTTCATTGAAAGTTGTAAAGTTGTGGCCCAGAAACAATAAAGAGGTGTATAATAATGGTGTAACTATAGTGCACTTGGCTGGTTTTGAGATTGTGTCACTGGTATATTGCAGCATTGTTGTTGCTTGCAGTATTTAAAATGATAAGATCTTTATCAATAGCCTAGTCAGAATGAACAAATCAAATTTCACTCTGGAAAAATCACATACTGTTTTCATGTCACATTCTAAGCAAAATATTTGGACGGCAGACATGGCTAGCGGCTTGTCTGATCAGCCGATTGACACATAAAACAGTAATAACCAACCCAGCTCAGTGAAGTTAAACTAGCCTATTACTTGTATCACAGGGCCAGACGTGATCTTGTAACGGGAATCTCAGGACAACTTGTTCAACATTTGGTGCTGGATTGTGGCCGCTAACAAGGATATGCTAAAGTCTTGCTAAGTTACTAACTTACATCCATGGACATCTATTGGACAGTGTTGACGAGCACACCATCGCCCCCTACTTTGAGCTCTGCCTTTGTAGGGTGTTGCAGTCCAATAGCTAACCCTGATGGCAGGAAAACTCTGCTGATTCTGAGGGGTATATACGGGCATGCAGATGTCCATATAAGGGAATGGAGATGTAGTTAAGGACTGAAAATGGTGTTCCAATTGTATTATGTTTTACCTTTTAACCACTAGTACTCCAGTAAACCATACGACATAATTTTATTAGTACCTCAACCAAGCTTCCATTTTTAATACTTGTCAGCTTGCTTACAATACGCCAAAACTCAGCTCACAGTATGCTGTATCTGCATGAGGATCACTAAAGGTGCAGGTGGGAAGTAGAGAAACATTCAAGTGACAAGTGGCATACCTCAAAAAACCCAGGAATTTGATACTTGATATCACATTTTATACCATGAATGTTTTACTGGGTGGTGCTACGGGAGGCAGTGTGTAAAGAATTCCTTGTGGAAATTTTACGTGAGGTACCCCTGAGTTCTATACTTGGGTCTGTATTATTTATACACGTACCGAACACTTTATTAGGAACATCTGTACACCCACTCATTCATGCAATTATCTACTCAGCCATTGAAGTGGCAGCAGTGCAGTGCATAAAATCATGCAGATACAGACCAGCATCTTCAGGTTATGTTCACATCAACCATCAGAATGGGGAAAATGTAATCTCAGTGATTTTGACCATGGCATGATAGTTGGTGCCAAAGGGGCTGGTTTGAGTATTTCTATACCTGCTGATCTCCTGGGATTTTCACATACAACAATCTCTAGAGTTACTCAGAATAGTGCAATAATAAAAAATCATCCAGTGAGTGGCAGTTCTGTAGATGGAAGCACCTTGTTGATTACATAGACAAACAGAGAATGGCCAGACATTCATGCTGGTAGGAAGGTTATGGTAACTTAGATAACCACTCTGTACAACTGAGGTGAGGAGAATATGTCAAACCTTGAGGTGGACGGGCTACAACAGCAGAAGGCCACATCGGGTCCCACTTCTGTCTGCCAAGAACAGAAAGCTGAGGCTGCAGTGGGCGCAGCTTCATCAAAACTGGACAGCTGAAGATTGAAAAAATGTAGGCTAATCTGATGAATCTCAATTTCTGCTGAGGCACACAGATTGTAGGGTCAGAATTTGGCTGCAACAGCATGAATCCGTGGACCCAACCTGCCTTGTGTCAACAGTCCGGTGTAATGGTGTGGGGGATGTTTTCTCTTTGGATCCATTAATTCCAATCAATCATCACCTAAATGCCACAGCCTATTTGAGTATTGTTGCTGATCATGTGCATTCTTTCATGGCCACAATTTACCAATCTTCTAATGGCTACTTCCAGAAAGATAATGCAACATGTCACAAAGCAAAAGTCCTCTCAAACTGGTTTCATTAGCATGACAATAAGTTTGGTGTTCTTGAGTGGCCTTCCCAGTCACTGGATCGGAATCCAACAGAACACTATTGGGATAGAACGGGAGATTTGCAGCATGAAAATTTAAAAATCTGCAGGAATTGCATGATACAGTCATGTCAACATGGATCGGAATATTAAAAGATTGTTTCCAACATCTTATGGAATCCATGCCACAAAAATTGAGGCTGTTTTTAAAAGCAAAGGGAGGCCCTGCCCAGTATTAGTACAGTGTTCCTAATGAAGTGGGCTGTGAGTGTTTGTCCACAATATTAGTGGCCCAGTTACAGTGATTTTATAGGAAGGTACTAAAGTCTTTCATTACAATTTAAATTCTATACCTCAATTATTTTAGACAGCTTTAGATGCATTGTATTGTGGAAATTTCATAACATACAAGTGCAGAGACTGACAAGAAAGAACAGGACTGCTTGATATGAAATCAATCAGTTCTGAGGTCAGTGCTGGTGACACAGTTGGCTCACAGTTTTATGATTTTAGTTTAATTACCCATATGTATACAGCTTCATTGGCCTGTTACACCTCCTAAATAAGCACTTAGGTTACAAAGCAGTTTATAAGGCAGAGTAAACTTAGGGTTAAGGCAAGGGTGGATCATAGTGCCGGATTAACTTGCAGTTTTACTTGCAGCCATGCATGTTCATGTCACCAGGTTTTACAGATGATGTGGTTTGCTTGTGTCTTTCACGTTCTTAATCCGTTAAACAGGTTTTTTTCACAGTTGAAAGTATCTAAATGGGGCCACAGATTCCTTTCAACATCATTAAATTTGAGGTTGACTGCTGAATGAAGTCAGTCTAAAGTCTGCCTCTAATCTAATTATATTCAATACAAAATCCAACAGTTTTAAAAAAAAACGTTCCCTTGGCAAGTGATTGCAAGGATTTTAAGTATTTGACCCACTACAGTGCACAATATCATCAGAAGATTCATGGAACCCAGAGAAATCTCTTTTGACAAAGCCAAAAACCATAAGTGAATGCCCGTGATCTCCGATCTATCATTATTAAAAACCAGCATGCTTCTGTGATAGATATCACTGCATGAGCTTGGGAATACTTTAAAAATGTTGTCAACAAATACCATTCACTGCTTGATCGACAAATGCAAGTTAAGACTATACTATGCACAGTGGAAGCCATATAACAACAGCATGCAGAAACGCCGCCGATGTCTCTGGGGCTGAGCTCATCTGAAATGGACTGATGCACAGGGGAAACAGGGTGAAAATGAGTCAATCTTTCTGAATATTTATGAAATTAATGGACATCATGTTTTCTGAGTCAAAGAAAAAAAGGACCATCCAGACTGTTACCAGCATAAAGTTCAAAATCTTGGGTCTGTCATAGTATGGAGGGATATTAATGGATAACTTGTGCATCTGTGAAAGCACCACTAATGCTAAACACATCTTAAAGCAACATATGCTGCCTTCTAGACAAACAGCTTTGTCAGGGACATCCATGTTCATTTTAATATGACGTTACAACATCATGAATGCGTAATCAGAGTTTGGGTGCTAGACTGGCCTGCCTGTCTCCTATTGAAAACATGAGGTGCATTATTAAGCTCAAAATATGACATTCGAAGTTCCACAAGGTTTTGCAGCTAAAGTCTTGTATAACGGATGAATGGCAAAAAGTTCTGCTTTCAAAACTGGATGAAAACATTTATTAAGTGCTATTAAATGGAAAGCTGGTGTAAAACAGTGGCAAACACGCTCCTGTCCCAACTTTTTTGTAACGTGTTGCTGGCATCAAACTTGGAATGAGCATGTATTTACAAAGAAATAAGTTCATAAGGTAAAACATCAAATTTTGTGTTTTTGTAATGTTTAAATTTAATACAGCCCAAACTGAATTTACTAATCACTGCCTTCTGTTTTTTATTAGCATTTTTCATACTGTCCTGACTTTTTTGGAATTGGTTTGTACAAAGAACAATCTCTCACTCCCGCATCTTGGAATGACAAGCTTGTTTGAGTTCCTTGTTTGTCGGCCTTAACCTCCTGTCTGAGGGAAGATATCTTTACTGGAACACTCCCTATGAAACGGCTACATACAATGTAAAATTTATGATAATGTCTGTTTCAAGCTGCAAATAAATAATGGAATGTATTTCATAAGCTTCACATGTCTGTGTTTAATCTAGAACAGCCAAAAATGTCAATGCACACCAGCATTAGCTTAGCGCTAACAGACTTTTGGAAATCCCAGTGCTATTAGAAACTAGCTTTATCTTACAGATGGGTAGTTTTCTCAGTTTTGAGCTAGATTTGATATCTATAGCCTGAACTGAAGGCCTAGCTCTAATAGTCATGGTTCATCACCTTAATCAGTTAGGAGAACTGATTAGTGTACACGAATGTAATCATTAATTCTCTGAATCTATTTGTTTTCATCGAAAGATGGACCAATAGAGATCGACATGACTTGCAAAGACTAGAAGACATACACAGCCTATTAGATACACCTCTGAGGTAGGTGATGTTGTAAGGGCTATAACAGTTTATACACACTGAAAATACATTAAATAACAAAAGTGTCTGAATATTTGTTTGCCCTCACTGTAAATGACATTTCATGCCCTACTAAGGGCTCTATTAAGCAAAATTGGAAATGTTATATCAGTTGTGTAACATTGAAGGGTTATGTGTAATAATGACTCAGACATTTGCATGTTATTGTAAGGTCTTCTAAACTATGAGTGCAATTTCAATAAAGTCTGGTCTTGTTTTATTTCTCTGCACTTTATTAATAAAAGCCAATTTCATTTTTATATGCTTGAAGTTGGTGCTATTATAGAGCACATCTAACTACTAAGTCAAACAAACTGTATTCCTGTCACTTATTGCGGCTCTTGCTTGTCATTATTGGTGACTCATTGTAGGAGTCTCAGACTATGACCAAGAGGAAGAGTATTTATAGAGTGGTGTGGTACCAACTCGCCAAAGCGTTTTACAGGAACCTGAAAAGGTAAGATAATCACTGTTGTGGATCCTTGTAGTTTAGAATAGACAAAATGTTTGCAGTCCCATGGATGAGATACATTTTTGCATGTTCTGTGAAATGTTTTAGAGACTGTTGGACTCCAACAAATGATTTGAAAAGAACAAGAAATCTGTTTAAAGACTTCAGGCTTGTTCTTGAAAAGGACTTGATTATGTCTTTACTCGCTCTCGCTCTCATTTGGACTCGGTTTCGGCCACTTAAAGACTCGGTCTTGACTCGTCATAGTCTTGGACTTGTCTTGGCCTTGATAAACGCAGTCTTGACAACTGCAGCAGTGTCTGTGAACACAAATCTGTAACCTTTTTTTAAAAAAGAAGTTAATATTGGTGTATTACATTCAGTATGGCATGTCTAGTGGAAGTTTTGCTTACTGTGTCGGTTTGCTCAGCCAGTACTTATGACTGACTCAGGAACAAAGTATTCTTTTCAACCAATTCTGTCATAAACCTTTCAAACTGATTCACAATTCCAGGTGAATCAAGAGATTACCCTTTTTTCCAGAGTGAATACAACACATGCCATTTAAATGAGATCCCTTTATATATGTATAGGAATACTTTAGTGTCTGCATTGCGACTCGGTTTGGCTTAAAGGAAAAAGAGAAAAAAATCTTGATTCAAGTCTGTTTTTATGCACATAAAACCTGAGGACACAATATAGACACGACAGCATATTGAACCTAAATCATTAATAAGGCTATTTTTGTTTATTAGACAAAAAGTAGTTGCTCAAATAGATGAGCAACTACTGTTTTATCTCACTTTTCAGATAATCATTAATAAATGAATTAATTAACATATTTATGTATTTAGAGTTCAGGGGCCTCCAGACATGCTGGTGCCCAAGGGCCCCTTAAGATCATGATCTGTCCCAGGACATTAGGAGTGCCTACCTTTTAAATCTATTTAGACACGTTTGTCATCTAGTCTGTCCAAGTCATATCAGTCTCCATCGGTCTCTTTTATGAATAGTCTGTTGTTTCTGACCTGTTTTTGTTATTACTATCATTAAAATAAATGTGCATATAAATACACTACAACTAAATATTTACAACTGTATATAAAACATACTCTTCTCTGCCAGAGCGCCAGAGAGAATGTTTCAGCAGGTAGTCGAACATTAAGGGTGGAGTGTATAAGATTAATTTGTTTGATAAGGAGTGTTTTCATTGGAGCTTGATAGATTGCATTAGAGGTTACACAAACAACATTCATTGTAACGTGATTTACAAATGAACAGTGCTAAAGTCAGACACCACCATTCACTTATTTAACTTCCAGTTACAACAGCCATTGAGTACAAGTTGACAGCAGAACATAACACAGGAGCTTTAGAAATGAAATACAGTATCAAGTTTTTCAGTATTTAGTGTTTCCACCATTTGGCTTTTATTACAGAAGACTTTCAGGTTTTCAAAGAAATTTGCAGTGACATTTTTACACACCTCTAAAATTCAGTCTTCTAAGTTGCATTTTCTGGTTCTCACAATCCAAGTCATCCCAAAGACTTCAATAAGATTGAGGTTGGGACTCTGGGGTGGTCAGTCCATTACTGTCCAATGTCCAATGATGGCCAGTGTTGTGAAACGCCAGGAGCTTCTTTGTTTAATTTGCAAATGTTCTTTTCTTGTCTATTTTCTTTTTCAGTAATGTGTTTCTTCTTGACAGCTACATGTCCTTTCAGACCCACGGCACTGAGTTGTCTTCTTAATGGAAAGATGGACAGAAACACCTGGTTTTTCCACTTAATTTCTTTTATCTAATCTCCTCAGACATGTCTCCTGAAAAATGAATTTGTGCTTAATGGCTGTTTTGGCCAGAAATAAAAAAAGGTGTTATAGGGTGTTATAATTTGTAAATGCAACAAACATTTTTATAGAGAAAAAGGACTAATTTGTTCTGAACACAGAGCAGCATTAAACATTTCAACACTGCTGTTATATTTTAAGTGCTTTTGACTGCTTTTGAGTGCTTTACAACTGCGCCTCATGTACGTTCATGGCATCAGTGAGTGCAAACCTCTTCATTTCACCAATAATAATAACTAAAGTCAATCGCTTATGATAGGATGATACAACAGATGGCTTACACATGTAGGAGGCAACATCTAGCTACGCTACAAACAACAGTGTAATAAACCTTCATAATATGCACTGTTAACAAATTTATAAAAGCTTGAATATCCTACTTGCTGGGAGTTTTGTCTGGGACTCGGAGCAGCGGAAGAGCAGTCACTTTATATAAGGGAGAGGAACACAAGTAGCTGATGTATACATATTGCTAACTCCGGGACTTTTGCTGATATTACATCACATACACGAAATTTAGTCCCTCCCAACTGAAATCGAGCTGAAGAAGGCAGTGAAAAGTAATTTCAAAAATTTCTTGACATAAACTAACATTCCTTCTCTGCCATTTCAGAGTAAAAACAGCACAAAACTATAGATAACGCTTAGAAGAAAATTATGCAAATGAGTAGCCAGGGGCTTTAAACCAGTTCGGGTAACACCTCTGCCACACAGAAACCTTGGGTTTGATTCCTAGGCAAGCACACCACACTACACCAATAAGAATCCTTGGGCAAGACTCCTAGTGCTACATTTTTGATGTTTTTCAGTTTGTGGCATAATTTGAAAATACCTGTTACTCTTTACATTGTATGTAAATTTCATGATGAATTGACTAAAAGAAATGACCTAAAATGACTTGGAAAAAACTCTGGTTCCACTGACTTACATTAAGAGTAAAGTATGTTTTTTCCTTATCCTGCAAAGTTACCATTTTGGAGTTACAAGGTTTTGTTCCGACAACAGCCATTTGTTATTGTCACTCAACATGAGGACTACAGATTCAGTGGAAAATGACCTCTGGTCAACAGACAGTTTGTGCTGGTGGGGGGGGGCAGTTTACCATTTTATCGTCTACTACAGAATTTCATGCATGTGAACAAAGACGCAACTTTGTAATTGATCCAGTAGAAACCAGACCAAAATTACTTCTGGTTGCAGTTCAAGTTAGAGATTAGTCATCTTCCTTTATGAAGTCTTTTCAATGACAACATGTGCATTTGTGTTTGTCAGATGGCGCTCTCTGGCTGGGTGTGCGTGGTGACTGGTGCTTCTCGAGGGATTGGAAGAGGCATTGCATTACAGCTGTCTGAAGCGGGGGCTACTGTCTATATCACTGGCAGACAGATGAAGACCCTACAGCAGACCGCAGCTGAGGTGAGTATCGCTAGAGACGTTATAAAGGAGGGTTTACATTTACACTTATTTTTAAATAAATGGTTAAAATGTAAACAAAGTCATTCAGAGTGGTTTGATTTGAAATGCTGTGTTCTAGAGAAATTTAACGAATCAGAGTAGTTAACAGTGTTGGTGATAGGAACCAGATGTCTGAAGCATTTAATATTTCTATCTCACAGGAAGGTATTACATGAAACAAGCACAAACATGCTGCCTAATTGTCTGAGACACTGTTTTAGATACAACCCCGTTTCTAAAAAAGTTGGGACGCTGTGCAAAAATGTAAATAAAAGTAGAATGCAATGATATGCAAATCATGTACACCATATACTTAATTCAAAATAGTACAAAGACAACAAATCAAATGTTGAAACTGAGAAATTCAATTGTTCTTGAAAATTATGCTCATTTTTTTATTAGATACCAGCCACACATTCCGAAAAAGTTGGGACGGGGCATATTTACCACTGGGTTACATCACCTCTTTCTCTAACAACAAGCGCTCTGCAAGCGTTTGAGAACTGAGGAGACCAACTGCTGTAATTTTGAAAGTGAAATGTTTTTCCATTCTTGCTTGATATAGAATTTCAGCTGCTCAACAGTTCAGGGGCCCCTTTATCGTATTTTCTGTTTCATAATGCACCAAATGTTTTCAATGGGTGACAGGTCTGGACTGCAGGCAGGCCAGTTTAGCGATTGGACCCTTTTACTATGGAGCCGTGCTGTTGTTGTATGTACAGAGTGTGGTTTGACATTGTCTTGATGAAGTAAGCAAAGCCTACCCTGAAAAAGTCGTCGTCTGGATGGCAGAATATTTTGCCAAAACTTGTATATATCGTTCAGCATTAATGGTGCCTTCACAGATGTGTAAGTCACCCATGCCATGTGCACTAATGCACCCCCATACCATCATGGATGCTGACATTTGAAGCTGTGTGCTGATAACAAGCCAGGTGGTCTTTAGCCTGGAGGACGCATTGTCTGTGATTTCCACTACAGAACCGTGTCTATTTCTAATGCAGTGCCGCCTGAGGGCTCAAAGATCACGGCAAGCCAGTACTGGTTTTCAGCCTTGTCCCTTTCATACAGAAATTCCTTGTAGGAGCAGTGGCCTGATCTGTTTACAATGGTTGATATTTCCAGTAAAAAAGCTTCTGCATTGTATCACTTGAACATGTTTCTCTATTTATCCACATGGACAAGGCCAGGCAATTCAGACAGAAAAGGTAAAAGGAAAAAATGCAAAAAGATTAAAGCCACTGCTATCTATGGCTGGGAGTCCAAGGCCTTGTTCCAATTTTTAACTTGTTTTAACTTAACTAGAGTGAAACAGCAATTCTAACCAACTTCTAAGACTGAACTTTGAAGGTGTTGAAAAATATCCCTGCAGATTTCTGAAAAACTTACGGAAAGTCTCTCGAAAAGACGAGACGTCTCTGAGCATGAAGCTTTGTCAAATTTTGTGAAGGGTTTGGTAGATTATAGAATTCGTCCTGTTCAAGCTATGTTATTCTCATTTATATGACAAAAATAACCACAGAGTAGCTACTAGACTTACTTCTGTGTGCACATAACTGCAGGTGAACGAGAGAGGTGGCCAATGTCTGCCGGTGATCTGTGACTCAACAAAAGATGAAGACGTAAAGGGGCTGTTTGAAAGAGTTCAGCGTGAGCAAAATGGAAGACTGGACATCCTTGTGAACAACGCGTATTCTGGTGTGCAGGTCAGTTAGACAACAGACGTTAATGTCACAAAAGAGTCTGTTGTACGGATTCATCTATATATATCTTTATGCTTTTACAGGCCATTTTTGACAACATGGAAAATAACTTCTGGGAGATAGAGCCTACTATTTGGGATGACACCAACAATACTGGCCTCAGGTATTAAGCATGTGAACTCTTACTGTATCAATACTAGCAGTTTTAGTGGCAGTTTCATTGTTTCTGCAAGCAGATTGCACTGTTTGAGTTAAAAGAACGGTTCAATGAAAACTCCAGTGCACAAATTTTGCTTCTTTAGTTTAACATTGGAGCTACAGAGCTAACACAGCAAACAAACTACAGAAGTCAATAGTCACCCAAATCTTTTTCTTCTTACTTTCTTTCTTTCTTTCTTTGGATGGAGTATTGCAACTAAAAGCTGTCTTGCTATATTCAGACTGTACTATCGAAACATTCAATTGAATATAACTGTTAGAATGTAAATTGTACCAAGACTTATTTGTCTTATGAAGCTGACCAATAATCACTTTCTAGACCAAAATTATCCAATGAATTTGTCTTTTCACTGAAAGTGGTGGCCAACCAATCATTTCAGAGAGTTCACAGTGATGAGTTAAATATCTAGCACCTGTTATAAATCTTAAAACAAAACGACGAGTCCAGTGAGTGCAACATTGTCTTTAAAGCATTTTAATGCATATAAAATATCCCCATAATCTAAAATATGTAAAAAGGTAGCTTCAACTTTTTGAGTGCCTGTTAAGTAAAGCAAGTCAAGTCAAAGTTTATTTATAAAGCGCTTTTTATAACAGGTGTTGTCACAAAGCAGCTGTACAGAAAAATATATATATAAATAAAATCCGGGTCCAAGCCCCCTAGTGAGCAAGCCAGTGGCGACAGTGGCAAGGAAAAACTCCCTAAGAACTAGAGGAAGAAACCTGGAGAGGAAAAGCGAAAACTGTTCCTAAAATAAAATCCCAGTTTTTCTTTAACGTCTTTATCAATTGTTCTAACATTAAACCCAAGTATTTTAAGATGCTGATTCTATTGGCTTGCCCATCAGCATGTAAATCTGTGGCTAAGATGACCTCTGTATCACATCTTTAGAGAATAACATATATTTTGTTTGTTGATCATTGAGAACTAGCCTTAGAGAGCTTAGAGTGTGCTGAACAGTCACAAATGCTTCCTGTACATTTGAGCCACTACTGGTGATGGAGCAGAACAATAGATAACTGCATTTCATTGGTTCTGTACCTGTTCTCTGCACAATGACAATAAAGTTGAATCCAATCTAATCTAATAATGGCATCATCTGCATAAAAGTACATATCAGCATTCTGTGAATACATCCCTAAAACTTGTCTTATCCCACTTGAGGTCTTCATTAAGGTCATGCAGGCTTGCCAGTGTGGTTTAGGACACAGTACGATTTACTGTAAGTGATAAAAATGAACAAAAACATGACCGAACGCTGGGAGAATTTAAGACTCCACTTGGTGTGCATGCATGTCACACCTGCATACAGATGCTACAGTTTACATTTATGATTTTTGTTGTTTCTTTTTATGAATAACTGATGACATGTTTAAAAATAGAAACAAACAGAAACGGAGAACATAATCTGTATCAGACAATTCCTGCTGTCTACTACACAGTAAAGTTTTGTTTATTTTTTATTGTTCACAATAAGTCATACTGTGTCCTTAACCACACTGATGACAAGTATGTGTGACCATAATGAAGACTTGGATGCATTTTGAGTGACTTGAGAGAAGTTTTGTGTTTAGACAAGATTTGGGTGACTACTGACGTCTAGTGTTTGTTAGCAACATTAGCCTCATAGCTCCAGTGCTAAACTAAATAAGATAAATTTGGACACCAGACATGTCTTCGCTGATCAATTGCACTTACTGGGGTAAGTGTAAAGTTGTGTGCATTCAATTTTTTGCTAAACCATTCAATTAACCATTTGTAGAAACAACAACAGACGCTCTCAGTAATGCCATATTAATGCCAATGTTCTCCGTCTTCTGCAGAGGACACTATTTCTGCTGTGTGTATGCCGCCCGTTTGATGGTTGCACAAGGAAAGGGCCTAATAGTTACCATATCATCCATGGGAGGCTTACGGTATCTCTTCAACGTGCCCTATGGGGTTGGCAAAGCCGCGGTGAGTCACTTAGCATGGCTATTTCAGCATTTAACATATTTCACTCCCTTCATAGTTCATTCAACTTGTTTGACATTCTACCACTCACAACTTACATATCTCCAGATTTTTATTGCTGTCAGTTAGCTGACAGGTATTAAAGAGATGTCCCTGATTGTCTGTGCTTATTCTCCCAGTGTGACAGACTAGCTGCAGATACTGCAGTAGAGCTGAAGAGCAGAGGAGTGGTGTCTGTAAGCCTCTGGCCAGGGGCCGTACAGACCGAGCTAGTTTCCCAGCACATAATTGAGAAAGAAAAGCCTCCAGGCTTTGACCAAAAGGTAAGTCATTATAAAAAAAAGCTGAGGTGGAATTTGAGCTGCACTGCATATTTCATTGTCAAGAAGAGAAGATGTCATTGATAATGACAGTATTTGTTGCACTAGCAATGATTATTGTTGTCTATATAGGCCCTCTAGTGGTGTGTGGCTATTACTGCTATTAATATGACTGAAAGGAAGAGCTCAAGACAAGGCTCTTCACCTTCAAAACTTGCCACTTCAATTGTGACCACAGTACTGATCATAAGTATGACATTTATTTTAAAATGAGTAGCTCAGGAGAAATGGTTTCAGCATAGTAAGTACAGTAAATGCTTAGCTATTACTTTATATTGAGCATTCGTCAAATCCTGAGACCTACAGATGAGTGACAACAGAAAAAACAACATAAATGTCTTAGTAAACGTCTTAGTCTTGGGCCACTATGAGCCACCAGAACAGCTTCTGTACAAGTATGTGGAACTTTCACTGGATGGATGGATGATGATAGAAAGCGTTGTGGCCCAAAATCTTCCATAAAAAATAGCCCTAACACTTCGCCCTACCCCTCTATCTGAACACAAATCAGGACGCCCTACCCCTAGATGTGAACATGCAAAACAGAGGGCTAAGGGCTAAATGGTAGGGGCGAGGGGTGAAATGAGATTAGACCCTCTTGTGCTCTCTGGATGGGGCACTGTCATCCTCGAAGAGACCAATCCAATCAGGACAGAAATACTTCATCATACGTGAAAGGTAATCAGTCAGAATAACTTTGGATTGTTTTGCAGTGACCTTTCCCTCTAAGGGAAACCCTGCCAGCAAAATGTCCCCCAAAGTGTAACAGAGCCACCAGATTCCTTCACTTAATTAAGCATTCAGGCTTCTACCGATCTCTTGGTGTTCGCCACACCTGCACTCCGCCCACTTATGAAGAATATCGTAAAGGATGACTATTTTTTTCCCACATCTCTGTAGATCTGTGCCCTCAGTTTTTGCACCACTAAACTCTCGAATGGTCATTCATCTTTGTAATGAGGGGTTTACACACTGCAATTCTACTATAATTCCCTCTTTACGCTGTTGTGGATGGACGGTTCTTGCTGACGGCCAGAGCACGGTCCTGCATTGACTTTGTTGGTCACCTGAGGAACAGCTGCTCTTCTGTTTTTCCTTATATATCATACTAATGCATGAGAATCGGGCTCATCGAATATGTTACTTTCACTACAATTTCCAACCCTATTTACTGATGTCTTTTCCCATTGATCTAAACGCAGATGCCACTTTCTTGTGTCAGTTGAGCAGTCTTCGTGACTGAAGGTCTTGCTACATTACCTAATACAGTCTATATCTGTTGTCAATCTTCCAGCTGAAGGATGTGTACATTACTGGTGAGACAACAGAGCTGAGTGGAAAATGCATTGTTGAACTTGCCAAAGGTAGGACTTTATTAAAAGCAATGCTTAAATATATCTGTAAATTAAATATGCAGTGTCCACATATCAGGACTTGAGCGAGTATCCTTTTATAATAAATGTACTGAAGGGAAAATATAGTTGTGTAAATACATTAAGAAGCAAATATATTGAGACAATGAGGTTAAATTGCTTGCTTATAAAATTTATATTTCAGATTAAAACATCATGAGCATAAGACTAAAGCAAAGAATGTCAGATTTTATTACCGCTTTTATTTTATTTTCCATACAACATAAACCATATCTTTTTTTTCAGTTTGTTTTGTTTACTCCACCAGTGTTAGCTAAGTGTAAGTACTGGGACATATAAATGACAGGTGATTCTGATTGCTCATGGGTCCCCTGTTCCCTCACTTGCAAAGACATCAAAGAGTTGTGAATGTGTCAGGTTGGTTGTAGACACTAGAGTTTGAATTAGGGGTCTTGTTTGATGTCAAAGATACAAAACCTATAAAGCAATATGAAAACTTCAGAATTGACTGTAATGGAAAAGAAACATTAAAGCAAACGGCACTGAGATTAAAGCAAATAACCGTCAGAACTACTGCAGAACAACTGGGCATTACAAAAACAAACAAACAAACAAAAAACAGTATGAAATATTTTGAAAAAGAAAGAAACTACTGGAGGTGTAAGTAATTTGCAATTTGCAATTACCAGGCCACAGCAGCTGATGACCGAAACATTGTTAAAGCTTTAAAAAAAAAACCCAAAATAATGTCTAGAGGAATTAAAGGCAGTTAACAGAGTGAAGGGGTGAAAGTATCATTACTCACTATTTGAAGAAATCCTCAAGAGAAAGAACCCGTATCAGCACTAAGAACAGAAGGGCCAGTCTGGAATTAATAAAGAAGCACAAAGATTAAGACAAACAGCCGGATTTGAAATAATCCAAAGCACAGCACTTCATCTGTGAAGCATAGTGGAGGTAGTGTCATGGCTTGGGCATGCATGGCTGCTTCAAGAACTGGCTTACTGGTCTTTGTCGATGGTGTAAGTGGTGGTGGTAGCAGCAGAATTAACTCTGACGTGTACATAAACATCTTATCTTCCTATGTCCAAGCAAATGCAGAAGTTCATAATAAAGCAAGACACTGACCCAAAGCATAATGCACACTAAACCAAGGTATTAATCAGAAAAAATCTGGAAGGTTAAAGCCAGTTTCTGGGTTTAAACCCAACTGACCATGTATTTCCGGTGTTAAAGAGGAAACTAAAGTCAGAACACCCCTTAAATACCAAAGTGAAAAGAGGCAAAGCACTCCTAATTAAGTTATTAAGAGTGTGGTTAGGTCAGTGGATCCCAGGCTTGACGCATTTTTTTGCATGAAAAGGTACTGGGACCAAATACAACTTTAAACTACTTCATTATTTGTCCCAATACTTATGCTCAGGTAAAATTAGATGAGTAAACACAACATTTGACTTTTTTTCCCTGTATGGTTAATGTTGTCCGGAAACACTGCTCAAAAGTAAAAGGTGACATTTTGCTTATCTTTTAATCTGGAAGACAAATTATTATTAATATACAACTAAAAATAACTCATTTCATCTCATTGTCCCAGTTTTTTTATTAGCTTCCCAGCAATATGTTCTCTTTACAAACTGCATGACTGTCTATCTCTGTGTTCTTCTGGTTAAACAGACAAAAACCTGATGTCACTGACCGGGAAAGTGCTGTTGACGTGTGATCTTGTGAGGCGCTATGGATTAAGAGATGTCGATGGTAAATGAACGTATTTTGTGTTCATTTTATTAAAATTCATTTTGTAGAAGAAATGAATTGCATTTCAGTGAGACACACCATCCTAAAATGGTCTTTCTCTGTTTCTCTTCAAGGTCGCAGAGTAGTGGATTATACCTCTTTGAAATTCCTTCTCAGTCAGTCTCCTTACATGTCCTGGCTCTCCATAATCACTCCATCATTTATCAGAGTGCCACGATGCATATTCAGCTTGGCCATCAGCAAATTCTGACGTATGCAAATAAGTTCATTTTTATATTTCACTTTGTTGGATCTTTGTTTACAGATTTTTTCTGTCTTTCATTTCTTTATTGCTGACAGTAGTTTGAGAGAGACTTTCTAGATCGGACGTCTTCAAATCCCAACCAATAAAAACTTTTTGCTTTTATTTTCTGAAAAGTACTGTAGTTTTTATTTAGTTTCAGTTTTTAGTATTATGATTAATGCTATGATAGTAAGTGTTTGATAAGAGTAGAATAAAATTAACACAGCAGTGGCTGAGCTCGGCTTTTCCTTAAGGACAGCTGAACATAGAAGGGACCCACTTCTAAATTCAGCTTTCTCACACTGAAAAAATATAAAACTAAAGTTTTTTTTTTTCTCAGTAATTCTATTTTGTTTTAGTAACTTTTGCAGTGGATATAGTAATTTTGATTTAGTTTTTGTTTTAGAAAACTATCATTTTTAAAAAAAGAACAGTTTTTTTTCAGTTTAAGTAATAGCTTTAGTTAAGCATCATGACCTTGATTCTGTATATATAAGAAGATTTCTATACATAATGTTATAGATTAGATAATGTGTTGCTTAAATGCTTCAGCAAATACTTATGGACTGATACTAGTACATTTGCAGGACGCCAATTTACACTATTGTCTGCCTACCGATATATTGGTCTTGCATTTTCACATCAATGTTAATATATACTGTTGTGTGCAAAAGTTTGGGCTCCCCTGGTCAAATTACAGGTGTTGTTGATTTTTGAAGTGTGCACTAAAACTTGCAGAAAACTGTTATATTTAAGTAGAGGATGTGCTAACTCATTTTCACAACAAATCATCAAAACGTAATTTGACCGCAGATGATCAAACTTTTGCCTACGACTGTAACTGTGTATCTCTACACACTAAAACTGATGAGATTTTATTTCACCTGTTTTCACTTTCTAATAATGCTGTGAATTCACATTGTGCAACTCATTTAAATTTTAATAAAGCACATTTCAAGCAGATGCACAGTTTTCATCTGCGTGTGTGTGTATGTACATTGGATAAACAGAAGAGCTCTTCAAGCAATTCATTATTTTTACCAGAAACTGCTGCAATGTTTCTCAGATGATGCATATCTTTAATGAGTAATGCGGGGAGAGTGAAGGTTGAACACTTTTGTACTCTTTTCCTCCCAATCTTACAAGAGTGTAATGCATTTTCTGTAACGACATTTGTTCCGGCGATCTTGGCACCTTATTGGCATTTGCTGGCTCAAATGACTATTATTATTACTACTATTACCACTGCTACCACCAGTGTAGTCAATATAAGGTCCTCTTTCCTGAGTGTTTAGTATCCACTATTTAAAAGTGCCATGGCTTTAGTTATTTTACATGTGTTTGGCCCATGCATGATTGTTCAATCCTGTCATTTGTTTAGAGCATGGTTGCCCAAAGTTGTCCAGTAACCATATTTTTCCACTCCTCTAAAGTTCAGTCTTAGAAGTTGCCTGCATTTTTGTCTCTCAGAATCCAAGTAATCCTAATACATATTTACATTCATCAGTCCATAAAGCCTTACTCCACATCTCAGATGTCCAGTTTTGGTGTTCTAGTGCAAATTTGCTACTTTTGTCTATTTTCTTTTCTCAATAAATTTCCTTTTCTCATTTTGACAGCTACACATCCTTCCAGACCCATAGCGCTGAGTTGTCTTCTCACAGTGGAGAGATGGACAGAAACACCTGTCGATTTTTTCTGAAGCAAGAGTGGAGCTTGATTTTCTCCTCTCTCTCAAAGAAGAAAACATTAAGTGCTATTTATCTAATGGGGACAGTTTTGCTGGTTTACCAGGTCTTGCATGGCTGTTAAGAGTCTCATTTTCTCTATATCTATTAATCATTTTTCATTTATGCGAGTGAATTATCTTATATCTCATCTCCTCACAAATATCTCTTTTAATTATTTTAGATGCATGTAAGAAAGAAATCTGTAAGGCAGCTAAGATGTGTGGGTTGGATGTAAACTAGAAGGGTGCCAGTTATGTGGTGTCAAGAATTTCTACCCAGTCTGTAAAACACTGTGGTCTGTAACATTAGTGCTGTGCTGATGTCCAATTATACATTTTTAAAAACACATTAACTCAGGACGGCCAGTGACTGTGATGCATTTTAAATAAATTAAAAAAAGAAACAAGCATCGAAACTGTTGTTTAACTTAAAAACAGCATGTCAGCATCTGTGAAGCCACTGGTGTGACATGCACAACATGCTTAAAACTCACTGCAGTAAAGATTTTGAATGTTCATAGTTTTTTGTTAATTTAAGAATAGACCAAACACTGCACAATCATCAAATTCCTTTGGTTTATTCTTGTTTTATCTCCTTTTCATGGCTTCATAGTTGGGGGCACCTTTTACCACTAAAATGGTAGAATGATCTGATTATTTGAAACATGTAAAGTGTCACAGGACTAGCACATTTAAGCCCATCTGCGGCGATAATGTCTTAGTGAAAAGTGTCATTCTTCATTTGGAGTGGGAATTCAGGTGGATATATTTTTTTCTTTCATCTCAAAACTGAATAATCTTAATTTGTCCTTCAACATCTCCTATTATCATATATGCAAAAAAGGAGAACTTAATTCCAAACATATTTTACAGTCACTGGTGTTGTATGAATATGGTGTAACACCAGTGACTGTGACTCCAGTCACATTCTGGTTAAAACTGAGGATTCTGTAAACTGGCTGACTCATTGGTGATCAGGTGACCTTGTGCATTTAAAATCAGTAATAAAAATCATATTTGGCATTATTTTGACAAATTTTAATTACCCAGCCATCAAAGCACATAATACCAGTGACATATAGAAGTTATGTGCTGCCTGATAAACAAAATTATTCATACATTAATGAAATATAGTGAGCAAGTGTGGACTAGCCTTCTCATGCCTCGAGATACTTCCTCTCTGATGAGCCTCGACCCATAGAAGCAATTTAACAGAGCTGAAAATACCGTGTTAAAATGAAACATAAGAGTCCTGATAACACCAGTGACCAAATCACTGTGACAAATGATTTTTTTAAAATAAAATACATATTTTTTAAAGGTTGTGTAAATCAATAACATAAAAAGTGAACATGAATCTGTTTTATACAAATTCCTAAGTTAAACCTCTTAAAAATATTGTTTTATATTAAAAATGATTGAAAATTGGTTATGTGGTGAGCTGTTTTACACACGCAGAGCGACTATGAAACAGGATAAAAAAAAGCAAAATTAGAGAAATCATAAGGGAAAAGTGTTATTTAATCTTACGTAAGCTGTGTAAATGTACATACCAACTTTTGGAGCTGTGCCTAATATTTTAAGCATCTTTTTGAGCCCTGCAACCTGACATGGTTTCCCACTCCGAATGGAGCATGACCCAAAACATTGATTCCAAACTTTTGAATGCAAGCATAAGTTTTCTTAGGGTGCTGAGTGAGATGATCAACAACAATACTAACATATGCACAAGTTCTGGTAAAAATAAATGGCACTATTGTACCATAGTTTGGGGGAAAAAATGATCCAATTAATCTAACTGCGGATAAAACTTCCAACCCACGCTGACAAGTATCTTCTAAAATGGTCAGTTTTATCAGCAATCCCCTAATAAACCAGCTGCCCTCCTCTTCCAATCCAATCCCCTGCTTGTCCAGACTGGGCTGGCACACCCTCGGCACCGTCACTGCAGGAGATAGGAGGATTGGAGGATTGGTCTGTTTCCTGTCCTGATCCTCCGCCTAGCCTCGATTTGGCCGGACAGAGGAGGAAAAACACTTTGGGGATTTCTAGAACAAAAGCTTCAGCGGCTCAGAGTGAAGACTTTAGTGCCGAGGACTCGGGCGGCTGTGAATGAGGATTAAAAGTGGTGGGTAGATCCAAATATTAAGTTACCCTGATGGGATTCCAGTAAACTGGACGCTGAGGTGAAGTTTCAGAGTGGTTTGATTTCATTCTTTCGATTGGAAGACTCCGCTACTACAACACATTTGTTGGGGGCGCTTAAAGGGAACGCAGTAGCTGTTTTCCCATTGTATCGCGTCCTAAAACGATCTGAGATCTGCTTTCAGTGGTGTTTTCGCTGTGTAGCCAAGATAACTTTGTCTTTGTGGCCTATTAAAGCGTTTGCCCGAAGAAGAGAGAGGCTGTGGCGGCCGAGCACTTAATACGCCACAAAAGGGCATGTAAGCTGTGAGGGACGAGGCTGAAGTTGGCGTCTTGTTCGAATGTCCCGTTCCACCTTAAATGGCGCAGCAGTAGCATTCTGGCGCCTGGCGCGACAATGCTACTGCTGCGCCATTTAAGGTGGAACGGAAAATTCGAACAAGAAGCTGGCGAATAAGAAAACAACTTCAGCTTTCTCCATGAGGAGGAGGAGGAGGGGTGGGGAGGGGGTGTTGTTGTGGACATTTTTGTTGGACAACGGCCAGTTTTAACCGAAACGCTAGGAGTTTGAGGACTCACAACAGCGACGTTACACCTGCTCTTATATGATGTAGTTAACGTAGTGCTACCAGAAGTTATTGAGCTTGGCTAGCTGGTCAGCACGAACCGTGGAACCCAACGGCGTGAAACACAGCCCACGTTAATCTCTAGGTTAGCTAGCTAGCTTCAGCTAGCAAACATGAAGCTCCTGGACATTGCAGCCCACCCGGGAATTCCAGTGATTTTTTCCAAATTTCTCCATGAGTCAGTTGCTCGGATGTAAACAAAGTCATTCAGAGTGGTTTGGTGTGAAATGCTCTGTTCTAGAGAAACTTGCCGAGGCAGAATTGTTCACAGTGGTGGTGATAGGAACCAGACGTCTGAAGAGTGTAATGCCTCTAAAAGCTAACCTACATCCCCATAAAGTTTTTACATGGATGGGATGGTGATGAATACACTGCCTGATGCCCAAGACACTGTTCTCTGATAGGTTTGAGAGAAACCTTTGGGCTGCAATGTACTTTTAAAATCTTTAAATGGTGGAGAGATACATGTAGGGTGTTATAAGGAAAAGTAGTCCCAGATAAAACTTTTTATTTCTGGATTTACCGCTATTTTACCATCATCAACACTACATATACACACTCAGAAGGCACATGTAGGTTCACTGGTGGTTTTGGACAGTGAATAAAATTGACATTGTGACCCCTGGTTCCACTTACCACCACTGTAAAGAGATCTGAGTCCAAGTTTCTCTGCAAGGAACCAATTCACACCAAACCACTCTGAATGGCTTCGGTTACATCTCAAAGATGAAATTACGCCTTGGCCATTTTGGGGGAGAACACAATCAGCCTGTCCCGTTTTTTAGAACATAAACATTTGTGAGGACTTGGACTGATAACAGTGTCATTTCCCTGACCGTGTGTGAGCATGGGTGACCAAAACATCTTAGCGAAAAAAGACAGAACAACTGTGGCTTGTTGGATGTTTCACCTGGCAGGAAGTAAATACTGAAAAAGTGGTTTGATGTGAAATATATCCATTTTATTTACTACCAAAAACAACCAGTGAACTTAAAAATACACATTTTAGGCCAAAATCTCTTTGCACAACTGCTGTAAACAACATCTCAGGCTGCAGATCATCACTATCCAAAGAAAAACATGTATCTCTATTTTTTGTGATTTTTACTTTTCTACATCGTTTGAGCAGGGCAGCTGTTCTTTATATTGTGTGAGAATTTCATGGTAAATGGACCAAAAGAAATGCTCCAAAACTGCTTAGGATAAGAACATTTTGCCCTCTCCTGTAAAGCTACTATATTGGAGATACTTGTTTTTCTTTGGACAGCGATGATATTCATAGCCATTTTATTTAAAAACCTTTTGTGAGGTAGCTTTTAGACGCTTTAACAGCTTCAGATGACCGGTTCCTATCACCACTGTTGTGGACAGTGTTGACTTGGCAAGTTTCCCTAGAGTTAATTACTTCGTTTGCATCTTAAAGATTTAATTATGCAGAAATTCTGAAAAATCTTTGGAATTACTGTTCGCAACAGAAATGTTACAAAACATAAGAAAATGAGTTCAAGAAAACGGTCTCTAAATCCTGGAATCCTCAAACATGTAGATGCCCTTTTGCTAGCAGACATTGTTAGCCTCTTAGTGATTCATCTCACAGAGGTTCTATGTCACGGATGTCTGACGTCTGGGCATTCCAGGTCATTAGTTTGAGTTTCCTTTCCTTCTTTGCCAGATGGGTCTTGCACAACCCATGGGTATGTTTCAGGTTGTTAGCTTGCAAAAGAATGGGCTGCCCAGCTAGCCATGATCCTGGTGGAATGGCATGCTGCTGAAGTACACTGAGATGGCGTCTCTGGTTGAGGCTGCCATGCAATTGGTAAAGATCACCCACTCAACGAAGCCACCCCACTGCACTGCCATTATCTGTGCCTGTGTTTCAGGAGTAGTTAATTACTTTTGCAGACTTATGTTCAGGCCTGTTCTCAGATTCTGTGGTCACCTTTGACCTCCCTGGCTCCCCATGAGCACTAGGCTCTTCAGGCTGTTTGATGGTCTTGGCCACAGCAGTTTCAGACACTTGTGAAGTAATTACGATTTTCATGATTGACCCTTACATCTTAAAATAATAACATTCCAACGTGAACCTTCAGTTATTACTAGTTATTTCATCCATTTAAAAACAGATGTTTCCCAGCTCAGTGAGTACATGCATTTTATTCCGTGGGCAGCCCCAT